GAAGAGGTAGATGTGCGGGTACTGGAGGCCGAGCAGAAGAAGACAAAAGTGGCATTTTGAAGAGGCCCAGTACTTGTAGGCTAGGTCTAGGCGGGTACCAGTCCAACCAGTCTGAGTCTAGGGCCTGTACGGGCAATATCATAGTCTGCAATGATGTTTCCCTCCGAAAGGGAGGAGGTGCCGGTTGCTTGGGAAGGCTGAGCGGCCTGGAAGTCACCGCCCAAGAGGCAAGCAGGCCGCTATATCTCCAGGCCGGGCGAAGAGCCTAGCCTCATTGTCGGTGGGCAAGTTTGGCGACACACTGGTTGGAGCGCTGGCTGGAGCAGAGCTAGCTTGGAGCAGCGCTGTTGGGGAAGAAGCAAGGACTCGGAGGAGGAAGAAGGACAGGAAGGGGGAAGAGCGCCAGAGGTACTTACCTGGCTATGGTGGCAGCCATCTTCATCACCTTGGTGGGTGCTGCAGCAGGAAGGCCCCAGCTGGGGTTGAGCTACACCAAGAAGCTTCAAGGCAGAGTCAGGCATGGCGGCCTGAGCTAGGGCAGCCATAGCTGCTTTGGGTTGTCCGTTGGACATCTGGGCGAAGCCTAGTAGTCCGCCATAGCCTCGGCCTATGAGAGTAAAGAGTGGGAGAGGCGGCCATGGCTATGGTGGACCTCAAGTGATACCTGCAGTAGAAGAGGGATTCGGATTTTGATTCTGGTTCAGCTATTCAACATTGTATTATTATTTCTTGTGTGAATAAGAGAGGAGGAGATAAGGAGGAAGAGAGAGTTGAGCGAAGAAGAAGAGCTTTATCATTTGTCTATGCTGGTGTACATCATCTTCTTCTTCTTCTAACCTTCTCTCTCCTCTCAAGTTCATTCATTTCTTTATGCAATTGGACGGCATTGTAGTATCTGATGAATGTGTATCTCGAAATTGGCCAGGATCAAAACAGTTTTGTTAAGATCCTGGACAATTCTGAAGTGCAAAAACACAATTGCAAAAAGAAATGAATGAACTTGAGAGGAGACATAAAAGAAGAAAAAGAAGAAGAGGAAAGAAAGAAGGAGAAGATGTACACCAGCAAAAGACCAATGACAATTGCCCCTTCTCTCGCCAACCAACTCCTCCTCCTTATCTCCCCCTCTCTTATTCAAACAATAAATATTAATAATAATGATGAATGGCTGAACCAGAATCAATGTCCGAATCCCTCTTCTACTGCCAGCACAACAAGAGGTCCACCATAGCCATGACCTCCCGCCTCTCTCACTTCATTCAGGCCTAGGCTATGGCGGACTTCTAAGGGCCTTGCTCTGAGGTGCAAAAGACAATGCAAAAGCAGCTATTTCCTCCTCTGCTCAGGCCACCATGCCTGACTCTGCCTTGAAGCTTCTTGATGCAGCGCTACCCCAACTGAGGCCTACCAAAGTGATGGAGATGGCATCCACCATCACCAGGTAAGTACCTCTGACCACCCTCCTCCTTAGTCACCTTCTTCCTCCTCCTACCAGGCACCTTCCACATTAGCCAGGGTGGAGGCCCTGGCGCGCCTCTCCCCAGCGCTCCACACAGCGCTCCTCTGCTGGTCGCTCCAGTAGCGTGACGCCCAAACTTGCACGCAGCAAATGAGGCAGAGCAACTTGCTCTGCCTGAAGATATAGCGGGCACCCAGCCTCACTGCCGTTTGCTACAGTGTGCCCCTCCAAGCAGCAAGCATGGTCTCCAAGCTACCGGTACCTCCTCCCTTTCGGAGGGAAACATCATTGCAGACCTGATATCTATTCTACAGGCCCTAGACCTACACTATCGGGCTTCTACCCCTAAAGGTACTACTGCTCGGCCTACCGCTACTCAAGTGCTACCAGTACCGACACTACGCTACTTGAGAGCCCTAAGCTACCCCTTCGGCTGAGTGTTTTTCCCCGATGCAACCCTCAACGTCACCGCCATAGGTAAGTGCCTTGGCGGGCCACACACACACTCACGCCGACAAGCACTCAAACAGGCACGCAGACCAGCAAACACACACACACACACACACACACACACACACACACACACACACACACACACACACACAGACTTAGAAAACTCAGCAAAAAACGGGGATCTCAGCAAGGCACACATTCCAACAGCAAAACACAAAATCAGCTGTGTTCTCAGTCCATGTTTTGGCAGCTACTTACACTTGAAACGGTTTTCACCTATTACGGTAGCAGATGCAGTACCCAGGGCTTGATCTCTAGACCTCCCCTTCACCCATGTACGGTAGCTGTTGACCCCTGTGAGTTTGAACCCACCACCTGTGTTCTGAAAACCGTATGTTCAGCTGTTGTATATAGTGCGGTCGTCGGGTTTTGAACCGTAGGTCTGAGTCTTAGAGGTCTTAATAGTAGTATAGGTCATAGCTGCCACAGTCCCGAAAGGTCAAGCCTACGACCTTACGGAACTTCTGGAAGTGGCCTTTCGTGAGTCCTAGGGTCAGCCCGCGTCTGAGTCAGCAGAGGGCAGTCCTAACACAGTCAGCAAAGGGCAGTCCTAAACCTACCTAGCCTAGTCAGCGGTACCCATTCCCAAGTCGCACTTTGTCCAGTCAGCAAGTACTATGTGGGACTAGTGCACCCTGGGCCCGGAGTCCAAGGGCAGACCAGGGACAATCCAAAGTATAAATAAAGAGGCAGCGTCAAGTCATTCATTCATTCTGCCTGTAAGCCGTGCGGAAGCGCTGTCTGTGCGTCTTGTGTACGGAGGTCTGCAGGTGCCCAGAGTGGAAGAGAGCTAAGAGGAGGAAGACGCGGCCATAGCCGCCAGTTAGTGGTAGAAGGTAGAAGGTAGACGGCAGCCATAGCTGCCAGTTAGGAGGTTAGTCTGTGTGTAAGTGTAGAGTGTGTGAGTGTGAGTGTGCGGGACATCCAGGGAGATCCAGAGTGTGTGTGTGCGAACAAGTTGCTTGGGGATACAGTTGATCGGTTGGGAATCTTTGTCTGGCGCCCAGCGCCATAGCCGTTCGAGACAAGTTTGAATCGGACCTGTGTTCCTGGCCACGTTTATCTCTGAGCTTTGTGTGGGCGCCAAGCGCCAGGTGTGATCGTCATCTGTTTGCATGCATGCTGAGGTCGAAGAAGACAGGTCTGATTCCACTGGTATCGGAGCTGGTTCCCGCTGTCCTGGCACGTGGCGATCGCCGTCAGCCACGTCATCACCACGATCGCCCATGGTCGTCGTCATTTCCGCGGTGATTGAAGAGGAGTGGAGAGGCGCAAAGGTGCCACGTCATCATCAAGCGTAGCCACTGTTCCGCGAAGGGAGAAGAGGGGAGCCCAGAATTGCGCGCCGTAGCTGCCGCTCGCCTTGCCATCGTGCACCAATTGTTGAGTGTCGTGTTCGTTTTCGGTGCTCGTTATTTTGTGCGTGCCTTTGTTATAATGTGCGCCACTGCCCGCTGCCCACGTGCGCATCACCTCGCCTTGTGCACGCTGCCATCCTCCACGCGCTATCTCTCGTATCCGCCAGTTTCTGCGCGCTTAGCTGTTGCGCACCAGTCGTCGCGCGCCGTTGCACACCATTGCCGATGCCCGTGCACCATCATCGCTGTTGCTGAGGGAGACGGCCGTCCGCCGAAGAAGAAGACCACCACCATACGACGAGAAAGACCGCCGCTGTTGGTGAGAGAGAACCGCTGCGCCAAGATCGAAGAAGGGCGGCCATAGCCGGCGCGCTCGGAAGGACGAAGACAACGACGAAGAGGAGAGAGAGAGAGAGAGAGAGAGAGAGAGAGAGAGAGAGAGAGAGAGAGAGAGAGAGAGAGAGAG